GAGACATTCACTGTACCTAGAGTTAAGCTTCTTATAGGCTTACCTGCAGGTACAAGCCATAAAGCAGACTGCTTTTCATTTGATTCAGGAATCATACTAAGAAAATTGCTGGAGGAGATTAATACATAGGAAGTATCCGACTGCTAAAGAAAAGATGACCCCCCATAGTGACAGCTACATAAGCAGCATGAAGGAGCACTGTCAGATCACACAATGACTACTGCCTGCTGCTTAGTAATCAATCACTACACGTTGTAATGGATTCTCATCGATTTTAGTAGCATGATTATTAATGATCACCCACATAGCTCTGTCCTTTTAAAAATTGTACAAATTGACAAGTGAACTTATATCTCATAACCAGATTACATTTCTCTGACGCTTGTACAGCAAAGGCAAGCGCTGGTTGTCATAGGTTCCCACTGTTTCCTAAGGGCTCGTGCACACTTGACTTTATTTCTAACTCTTGCCAAATGCCCCTATAGCGTTTGACAGGAGTTAGACAGGCGTTTGGAAAGCGTTAATGCTGCTCAAATGACCTATGCGCGGTTTTGAGGCAGTTGACAGGCGTTTGCCAAGCGTCAAAACTGCACCACAAATGCCTATAATGAAGTTAAATGGTATTAACGCCTCGCAACCGCCTGCCAGGCGTTTGCAGAGCGGAACTATAGACTTGAATGGCTTCAACTCCTCCTAACTCGACACGAGGCGTCAGTTTTGCCACGATGCAAAGCTATCCCAGTGAACTGCACTGTGTGCTGCCATGTGCAGAATTTTCATAGGCGTTTGTGAAGCGTTAAAAACGCTTCCCAAACTCCTGTCTTTTCCCCTATGCTAGCATTGTGTCCACAGTAGCATTTGCGTAGGCAGAGCAGAGTAGGACTGGCCATAGAGGGATTACTTTGACGCAGTTGGCCAGCTTAAGCATGTATTGCAATATGTGTGAACTAAATATTCCTATTTATTGCATAGTCTGCTTGAAAGGGTATATACCAGTGTGCAGAGGGTCCTTCAGAATTTCCAAACTCCTGTCTGACGCTTGCCGACAAAGCTAGTGTGAACTGAGCCTTAAGAAGATTCAACATTCCCAGCTAACAGCAGAGGAGCGATATAGCTGCAACTTCCAGCAAAACATTTACCAGCCCTAATCCCACCACATCCTGTGTGTTTTACACCATCGAAATCGCAATAAACAGTGCCGCGAACAGCTGAAAGACCGAATACTGGATATTTGTTGCCAAAGGCTGATTACTACACAACATATAAAAGTGACATGCTTTTAAATCCATTTTAGAGTTCTAGATCTGTCCTTCTGTACATAAAAAATCTGCCTATTTGTGTGTAATGTGCGGAACTAAATTGTATCTGCTCCTTAAAGCCTAAAAGATTTGAAAGTCAAGCAAGCTAGGTTAATAGCAAAAAGCTGCACAGAGCCAATCAAAGCAAAAAAAACCCACCACATCTTCAGCCTTGGGCTTCTCTGGCAGAGTTCACTGCAAAGTCATTGAACTAAATTAACTCACTAATACAGCATGAACCACCTTAGATTAGCAGCCTGTAGCTTCTTTGTATGTGGCTCATGTCCTCAATGCATTGCACAAGGAGGACACAACGTGAACATCAATGGCTGGAAACCACACTGTAACCACTTCTTCTCCAGCTCTGACATGCAATTCATATTACATAGCTATGCTAAAAGGGAAGTTCAACTTTACAAAAGTGTATTTGCAGTAAACCAGATCATAGCAATGTTTTCTCTATTTCCTACTGAAAGACCTTGAACCATCTACAACAGCAGCAAGTGCAGACTCTTCCTATTTTTAACTGAAAAAGGTCAAACCCTTTCCATAACAGATGTGATTCAAGAAGTACGGTACTTTTAGGAAGGCCATCATGAGAAAAAAAAAAAGGGCGCTCTCTAAACTATCCAAAAATACTTTCCCTACACACTCACAATGGTGACATTGCTTTCAGTAAGTTACATCTGACGCAGGATAATCAACTCCTTTTAACCACTTGCTTATCGGACACTTTTCAACCCCTTCGTGCCTAGGCCAATTTTCAGCTTTCAGTGCTGTTGCGCTTTGAATGACAAATGCGCGGTCATGCAACATTGTAACCATATAACATTTTTATTTTCACACAAAGCTTTCTTTTGGTGGTATTTAATTGCCACTGGGGTTTATTTTTTTGCACTATAAACAAAAGAATTTGAACAAACAAAAAAAAAAGTTTCTTTGTTTCTATTACAACATTTTGCAAACAGGTAATTTTTCTCCTTCACTGATGAGGCGGCACGGATAGCCAGCACTGGTGAGGTGGCACGGATAGCCAGCACCGGTGAGGCGGCACTGGTGGGCATTGAGTAGGCACTAATGATGTGGCACTGATAGGTGGCACTGATAGGTGGCACTGATGATCAATGCCCTGATTATCAGTGCGGATGTCCTCTGACATTTGCCGGTTATCGGCAGTACTTTCCTCACGCAGTGACAGCGTGAGGAAAGTGGTGAGGTGGCACAGATAGCCAGCACTGGTGAGGTGGCACGGATAGCCAGCACTGGTGAGGTGGCACGGATAGCCAGCACTGGTGAGGTGGCACGGATAGCCAGCACTGGTGAGGTGGCACGGATAGCCAGCACTGGTGAGGTGGCACTGGTGGGCATTGAGTAGGCACTGATGATCAGTGCCCTGATTATCAGTGCGGATGTCCTCTGACATTTGCCGGTTATCGGCAGAACTTTCCTCACGCAGGGACAGCGTGAGGAAAGTGCCGACTATAACCGGCAACCATATTTACTTTGTGATCTGCCGTGTCATTGGACACAGCTGATCACGTGGCAAAAGGCAGCTGTGATTGGCCTGTAACTTAGTCAAGTGATCAGCTGTGTCCGTAGAGTACAGTGATCACTGACAGTGCCGGGTGCGCACCATGCATTCTAAGAGGACATCATTTGACGCTCTCCCAAAACTGGACAATTGCACTGTAGCTGTCATTCGGCTATAGCGCGGTTGTCAAATGGTTAAAACCACAAAACTTTCATCATGCCTTGGCTAGTAAAACTATGAGCTTAACATCCACATACACGAAGATATTCTTCCAAATCATTAGAATTTAAGTGTTGCTTCCAAAAGCTGTGCAGTTTTTGAAATTCAACCAACCTGTTTCAGTATAATGGTCTATTACCACTCTCGTATTTGCTGGGAGACTGCGCCATCTTCCTTTCAAAACCAACAAAAGTCTCCATTACTGAATGTTCCCTCCTTTGGAGTTACTAAGAGTGGGCTTCCTGATCTCAATGCACTCAAACACCCTTCAGCGAAATCTGCACAAAAGCACCAAGATGACATCAACTAAATGCTGCCACCACACCCCAATCGGGCCCCCATCCATAAAACAGCATTGCCTTCTGGGAGATTAGAAGAGTGTAGAAGTATCTGCTATATAAGGGGAGTGAAATGTGGCAGTTTTCAAGTATCCAGTCCCACAGAAAAGCAATTATTCGAAAGTTAATGGGCACCAAGAGCAGAATGGGAGGTAGATTGGAGTAAAAAAAACAAACCAAATTTTTTTTTGTATATATATATTATACGCACACACACCTACTTTTACGTGTTTATATAAAATGGTCTATTTTTTTTATGCCAACACAGCATTAACCAATATTATAACAATGCCCTGTAACACATTGATTTTTTTTTTTTTTTTATGTAAGAACCTACCGTATTTTTCGCACCATAAGACGCACTTTTTTCCCCCCCAAAAAGGGGGGAAAATGTCAGTGCGTCTTATGGAGCGAATATAAAGCGGCCGGTCCGGTATTTTTGCACCACCATGTCAGAATACCGGGCCGGCCGCTCAGCTGTTGTCTCCTGCAGGGCCTTACCTGTTCCTCGCTCCAGCGCTGCACAGTCTTCCCGCGCTGGCTTCTGTGACAGCCGGGTGCCCACTGCGCATGTGCTGCGCTTTGTGAATGATCCGGTGTCTTCTGGGACACATGAAGGGTCCCAGAAGGCGCCGGGCCATTCACAAAGCGAAGTGCTTCTCGCACCTGCGCAGTGGGCACCCGGCTGTCACAGAAGCCGGCCCGGGAAGAAGAGGAAAGGCAACTCCGCGGAAGTGGGAGCGGGTACCTGTCAAATTCAGGTAACCGCTCCCCCTCCCTTCCCAAAGGTCAGCAGTCTCTGGTCATCCCCTGCACTGTCTGCAGTCTCTGGACATTCCCTGTACTGTCTGCAGTCTCTGGTCATTCAATGCACTGTGTCCGCAGTCTCTGGTCATTCCCTGCACTGTCCGCAGTCTCTGGTCATTCCCTGCACTGTGTCCGCAGTCTCTGGTCATCCCCTGCACTGTCTGCAGTCTCTGGTCATTCCCTGCACTGTCCGCAGTCTCTGGTCATTCCCTGCACTGTGTCCGCAGTCTCTGGTCATTCCCTGCACTGTCCCGCAGTCTCTGGTCATTCCCTGTACTGTGTCCGCAGTCTCTGGTCATCTCCTGCACTGTGTCCGCAGTCTCTGGTCATCCCCTGTACTGTGTCCGCAGTCTCTGGTCATCTCCTGCACTGTGTCCGCAGTCTCTGGTCATTCCCTGTACTGTGTCCGCAGTCTCTGGTCATCTGCACTATGTCCGCAGTCTCTGGTCATCTCCTGTACTATGTCCGCAGTCTCTGGTCATCTCCTGCACTGTGTCCGCAGTCTCTGGTCATCTCCTGCACTGTTTCTGCAGTCTCTGGTCATCTCCTGTACTGTGTCCGCAGTCTCTGGTCATCTCCTGTACTGTGTCCGCAGTCTCTGGTCATCTCCTGTACTGTGTCCGCAGTCTCTGGTCATCTCCTGTACTGTGTCCGCAGTCTCTGGTCATCTCCTGTACTGTGTCCGCAGTCTCTGGTCATCTCCTGTACTGTGTCTGCAGTCTCTGGTCATCTCCTGCACTATTTCTGCAGTCTCTGGTCATCTACTGTACTGTGTCCGCAGTCTCTGGTCATCTCCTGTACTGTGTCCGCAGTCTCTGGTCATCTCCTGTACTGTGTCCGCAGTCTCTGGTCATCTCCTGTACTGTGTCCGCAGTCTCTGGTCATCTCCTGTACTGTGTCCGCAGTCTCTGGTCATCCCCTGTACTGTGTCCGCAGTCTCTGGTCATCTCCTGTACTGTGTCCGCAGTCTCTGGTCATCCCCTGTACTGTGTCTGCAGTCCATTAGTTCAGAATATTTTTTTTTCTTGTTTTTCACCTCTAAAACCTAGGTGCGTCTTATGGTCAGGTGCGTCTTATGGAGCGAAAAATACGGTACATATTTAATTAAACACCAATGCTTCCCTGAACTTCCAATTGGGTTACACATATGCAAAGCCCAAGCTCTCAGCACAGGTTATTTTACTTTTAGGTACACAAATATGCAGCCTCTTGGTGTCAAGGCCCACCTGCTGAGAGGCCACATATTTGCATACTCTCCATGCAAGCAGCTTTAAGTTAATTTCTTATGGTTTTGTCTTTTTTTTGTTTTTTTAAAAACAAACATGGCATACTTACCTGCTCTGTGTAATGGTTTTGCACAGAGCAGCCCTGACCCTCCCCTTTTCAGGTCCCCCACCAGCGATCTACCCCACAGCAAGCTGCTTGATATGGGGGCACTCATGCGGGCTTGCTCCTTCCCCCAGCTCTTTCATCACTGGCTCTGATTGACAGCAGAGGGAGCCAATGGTCCCTGCTACAGTATCTGAGCCAATGAGTGACAGCTGAGAACCTTGGCTCTTGAGAACATCACTGGATTAAGCTGGGGCTCAGATAAGTATTTAAGGCTGAAGGGGGTACAGAGGAAGCTGCATGCAGGTTTTTTTTTTTTCCACTTTATTGCATAGAATGCAGTAAAGTAAAAAAAAACACCCCTCTGCCTTTACAACCACTTTAATGCCTTACATGAAGGCTATAACTCCTAAGCCAAAACTGGCGTTTATTCTGTGCTATAAAACAAGAGCCAAAGAAATTATTTTCTCCATGTCTCAAACCATAAAATGCATCTTCCTGTATAGTTCATTAAGGACACCCTGTCACTATTTGAAAGATGGCAATGAAGTGCCTGCTTGTGCCTGGACTTTTGATCAGTTGCCATGTACTGTAATATTCCCATTTTAAAGTGGTTGTAAAGGCATTCTATGTATGAAGGTAAAAAACTTTCAGTGTGCTGCTCCCCACACAGCCCCCCCAATACTTACCTGAGCCCCCACTCTCAATCCAGCTCTGAACAGGGGCCTCAGTTCTCCCAGGTCTCTCTCTCCTCATTTGCTGAGGCACACCACTGGCTCCCACTGCTGGGGGGGGTCCTACAGAGCACGCACAAGTACCCCCAGAGCAAGCGGCTTGGTCTGGGGGCACCTAGAAGGAAGGAGACAGGTGCGCCAGCAGGAGACCCGACAAGAGGAGGATCGGGACTGCTCTGTGCAAAACCATTGCACAGAGCTGGCAAGTATAAGAAAAAAAACCCCCACACCTTGAGCCTTTAACCAGTAGCCTACAGGGCACTTGTACCCCCTTCCTGCCCAGGCCAATTTCCTGCTTTCAGTGCTGTTGCACTTTGAATGACAATTGCGCGGTCAAGCGACACTGTACCCATATGACATTTTTATAATTTTTTTGTGACAAGAGCCTTATTTTGGTGGCATTTAATCACCTCTGGGTTTTTTTATTTCTTAAACCAAAAACAACTGAAAATTTTGAAAAAAAAAATGTCTTAGTTTTTGTTATAAAATTTTGTAAATAAGTGATTTTTCTCCTTCACTGATGTGCACTAATGAGGCTGCAGTGATGGGCACTGATGGACACTGATAAGTGGCACTGATAGGCATTGATAGGTGGCACTGATGGGCGACACTGAAAGGCAGCTCAGATGGGCACTGATATGGCACGGATGGGCACTAAGAGCTGGCACTGATGGACACTGACAGGTGGCGCTGCTGGGGCTACACAGATTATCAGGGCACACTGATCATCAGTGCTCTGATGATCTGTGTACATGTCCCCTCCGAGGAATGCCGATTACCGGCTCTCCCCGATACCGGCATTTCCCTGTTTACATGTGATCAGCTCTGATTGGGCACAGCTGATCACATGATCGAGCCGACATAGTCGGCTTTTTACGTGGATCGGTGATCCGCTGTGTCCGAGGGACACAGCACACCGCTGATCGCCGCGTGCTCCGGTAGCCACGCATGCGCGGTTAGAATGGGAGGACGTCATATGATGTCCTCCCAGAACGAGAGAACCACCTTGCGTCCGTCATTACTATATGGCAAGCGGGAGGCGGTTAATATCACTTTAAACCTTGGTCAAAAAGCTGACACCCAAAATACATATATGTGCAGCATTTACCAAAAGATCTGATTCTGTTCAGCTATTCTTCTAATTCAAACTCCCGTCACACAGAACAGCCAGGTGGTCAAAACCAAATTCTCCATTACAGTAAGGGAATACATTCTTGTCACTCCTCCTGACAGGACAGTAAAGGAGTAGCAGTGCATGTTAAGTATTACACAGCGCATCATGTAAAATAGGTTGCTTGGCTGGAAGTGACAGTTTTCTAATCGGTCTTCTGCTGTGCAAGGGACTAGAACAGGGGTAGGCAACCTGCGGCTCTCCAGCTGTTGCAGGACTACAAGTTCCATCATGCCTCTGCAAGTCATAGCTGTAACTGTCAGTTTTGTAATGTTGCAATGCCTCATGGGAAATGTAGTTCCACAACAGTTAGAAAGCCGCAGGTTGCCTACCCCTGGACTAGAAGAAACATTTACTGAGTAATATACGCAGACAACCAGTATTATTCTCTCATTTTGAAAATACGAAGTTTAGTGCCAAAAAAATAAAATAAAAAAAGGAGAGGAAAAAAAAAAAAAAAAAAAAAAACACACGCATGGCACAAGGGGCAATACTATCAAAGTATCCCTTGTGCTGCTGACTCTTACTTTTGCTGAAATCTTCCTCAGGATCACAGGAGGAAGATTTTAACTAACCAGGAGCCAGCAGAACAAGAGACACTTCATAATGAGTGAAAAAAAAAACCAAACAAAGTCAGAAAATACTTTGTCTTTAATTTTTAATTTGGAACTAGTAAATGCTTCACAAACGTAATGGAGAACTAAAGTGTTACTAAACCCAGGACCCTGCATTCACTATATCTGGTCTCCAACAGTACACAGAACATGAAAATACAATTATTTTAGTAAATATAAACTGATAAAATACATTTTCTCATCAGCAGTCTTGGGACTTCTATCAGTATCCATCAGAGCACAGGTCAAAGCTTGTAGGAGGAGATTTCTTTCTGCTCTAGAAGGATGTAAAACCCCTGACCTCTGTCTGGAGGGTGCGGATTGGCCTTGTGCGGATCACATTAACTCTCTCTAGCAATACAAAAACTGAGCATGTGCAGAATGGCTATGGTTCAGTCTGTCTTCTCAGGAGATTAAAAATGTACATTTGAATAAGAGGAGGAGCAGAGAAGTCAGGATCAAACAGCATTTTTTGCACAATGCAGAGGATTAACCCCTTAGGTTCCACAGTGAGTATACCAAGCATGCCTTACTGCATATACAGACTGCTTTTACTGTTGTGGGTTTAGTAACACTAAGTGCAGATGTTTTCATTTCTTTTTAGTGGCTTTTCATTTACAGTTAAACAGTGCACACATTTAGGTAAAGTAGGTGTTTAGACATATATAGTCCACTTACAGACAGCCACAAACATCAAAAGAAACAATAGATCAGATTTAACATTCAATCCACTGATATGTAATCACTGTCTGCCTAAAGTCTATTTCTGATGATAATAATCTGTATTCAGGATCTCTTCAATACACGCATGGTTCCTTGCCTTTTATCCCTTTAAACACACAGCAAAAGACAAAATGGCTGTTGGTCCTGTCAGAATTCCAGTGACCTCCTAACTTCCTGTGGTAGCACTGCTTCTACTGCACTCCTTCATTCTCCCTTCTGGACTACAGAACACCTCCCCCTAGCTTGATACTGCTACTCCTCTGTAGATACAGTACATCGAGAGCTTTGAGACCCCAAAAGAGTAAATTATGATGTTGGTAGAATCACCAAGTGAAAATAGAGGGGGGGAAATGAAAAAAAAGAAGCATAAAAGCATTCCCCAAATCTAAGGGCCAGTAAATTTCGATACACTGTATATGTTTGTTATTGGGTATAGATAACCTCTACAGTAGTTGTGAACATACTGTACAATGTTATAGACACTGTATAATACAGTGATAACTATACAGGCACCATAACTGCTTTTGCTTCAGTTGAAGGAATGACCTTTACCTTTTTTTTTTACAAGGTTAAATTTCTGTCATGTGCCCATGCAATAGTGGGGGGAGGGGATTACGTGACACTGTGCAGACACACAGCATGCCTATATTCCATAGTCTGTTCAGTCTGAGGCAGAGGTGTCCCTAGGGTTGGTGTTACCGGTGCGGTAACACTTGGTGACACCCCCTCCGACGATCCCCGCAGAATGGATCATATCTGCGGATTGAGCATAATGGATCGGATTCCAATCCATTATGCTCAATCCGCAGATCCGATCCATCCTGCGGGGATCATCAGCTTTCTTTACAAATTACCTTTTCCTGGAGTGGGTCTGGTGTAACCCCCGTATAGGTTGCATGCTGACGATCCACGCAGGATTGTTGGCATGCAACCTATAAGGGGTGACACCGGACCCGCTACAAAAAAAGGTAAGTTGTAAAGAAAGCCGACAATCCCCGCCTGCTTGCTTTACAACTTCACTTTTTGGGGACCGGGTCCGGTGTCACCCGGTGCGGACCGCACCCCCCGCACCTGCCTCGGGACGCCACTGGTCTGGGGCAAGATGCAGGCTGTGCCTCAGCAGGGGGCGTGTTCAAGAGGCAAGTTGTGATTGGGAGGAGTAGTATGAGTCAGAGGCAGGCGATGACTGGCCAGAGGAGTGTTGGCTGATCAAACTACCCAATACAGGCATGCTGTGTGTCTGCACAGTGTCATGTACCTCTGAATGGCCAGCTAAAAGATAAAAAACTGACCACACTAAGACAAATCAGCTTCTGTGCTTTGTGTGGTCAGTTTAGAACAAGAAAGTAAGGTGACTGGCAGAATCACCCAGGTACTTCAGATGGAAGAAGTACATGAAAATATTTAAATACACATATGTGAACACAGAGAAAAAAACCATTTAAAAAAAAAAAAAAAAAAAAAAAAAAAAAAAAGAATAAGAAGAAGGTACAACATACTGCATGTATTTACGCTGCAAATGGTTACTAGTTACATCCAACCAATTTTGTGATACGTATTTGCCAGTCAATAATATGACTCTGTTACTCTCTGGTTTCAATTTTTTGCTTCCTTGGCCAGCTCCCTGCTCAGAGATGACCAGTAAACCTCAGGTGCTCAGTTAGGTACTACATGTTTCACCTGCAGACTTTACAGTGTGGAAAATGTCTATAAATCACAAAATTGGCCATACAGAATCAAAATTCTCTGACTGGTAAAGAACAGTTTTTCAAACAATTAGGTGAAAAATGCAAAGTGTAAGTGTGTGTAAGTGTGTGTGTCACTCAATTCAGATACAGTGAAGAAAAAAAAAATAGACCTATGCAATCAATTCATTCTTCTTTGGATTAGATAAAAATACTTTCTGCTTTGTGGTTTCTCTGCTTACATCTACAATCGCTACTTCAAAAGCCAGGGTAAAACAGACTGGCAGAAGCGCACACCTCCGCTGAATGCCTTCCACAGCATTCACACTAATGAGAACCTGAGAGGATGATGAGAGGTGCGCGCAATGTGAAAGACGACCTCACACACACACCAAGGGTCACCTGCCAGTTTGCACATCTTCATTTAGGGAATATCTTCAGAT